GAAACTCTGATGTATTTTTTCTCTTTAAAAACTTATTTCAACCAAGAATAGTGTTTCAATCATGCATATAGCATATATACTCCATATTTGATAAGTTAGGGTGAAAATAATTTATTTTTATTTCATTCTTCCAAAATAATAAAATAGACCAGGCAAATCGCTTGTCATTTCCATTCTGAATTTTATAAACTTTGTTTTTTCTAAAGAGACTCATCAATGTTTAAGACACAAATACTTACGGTTTTGTATCAGATTTACTAAGATCCAGTCTATCAGTTGCAACATGATAAGGAACCCGGCAAACTCGTCCGTCCTGGAGAATTTATGAAAATAAAATATTTTAACTATAGCGAATTAATATTTACCACAATACATGTTGAAGGTCCGGTAATTTTGGCATGTCTGTTAAAGTCCCATTGAAAAGGAGCAACGAAAAAAATAAATAACTCACTGAGTTATTAGTTATCTATTATTTTCATGCATCATCATCTAAGGTTTGTTATTTCACTTAATTTTCTTAAGATCAAACCCATTTACTAAATAGATCTCACAGATGATTACACAAGCTGTCCGTACAGTATAAAAATATATAATTTCAGCTGATTTAATGAATGATTTTAGTATGCTACAGATAGGTATTGTCAGGCATGTAGGGAATGTAGTATTATTATTCATAACTATTTTAAACAAAATATGAAACATTTTAGTTAAATGTTGCAGTATACACTCAGTCACAAGCACACAATACTTTATAGTGATGAATGCTAGTACTGACAGAATTCTTAAAACTTTTTACCTGCTTTCTAATACAAGTTTACAAGGAAACTATAATGCAATAATCTTTTGGTCTTTGATTTTCAAAAAAAAAGTTGTGTTCAATTACAGGAGCAACAAAAAAATATTTCTCACCTCCCTTAGCAAAGCAATGTGACTTGAACCAACAGCACACTGTGTTATAGTGACATTCCTAAGACAACTGATGGCGGGAGGTGCTGTAAATCCATGCCTGCTAAAGCGCTCCGAGACCTCTCGCAATCTAGGAAAGAAAGAGTTACAAAAGCTACAAACGTTGCCTTATTTATATTAAAAAATCCTGAAGAGAAAATGAAATTAATCAAGCTTGGATATGTCAGCAATTATCCTGTTTGATGTTTTTTCCACATATTATGCCTGCCTTATTATACAAAATATTTTGGCTATGAATATGATAGCTAAAGATAATTACGTTAATATTTTTAGGGATATGCTATGTTAAAATTTGGCTTATATTTGTAAATATTTCTTTGATTTTATAACTTAAAATTGTTAAAATTTAAGATGTTAATGTATAATTCAGGATTAAATCTTGTAATCATTTCAATACCAATAGCAGCATCTAAAAATTAATTCCAGGTTTATTTAAATATTGCAGTACACTCAGTTACAATAACATAATATTTCCTAAAGATGAATGCTTGTACTGACAGAAAATGTAAGGGATGCATGATTTTTACTTTAAACTGCTTTCTAATAGAAGTTAACAACGCCGGTTTAATTAATTATCCTGTCATTTAGGCCAAACTTTTGTTAAAACAAAAATACCATTAAAAAAATAGTTTCTACTGACCACTTTTCAAATAACTGTCCGATAAATTTACTAGGCACTAGTTGTTTTGTTTTAATGTGACAGTGAATATACTCAAAAGAGCCTTTGTGTATGCAGTGACTAAAGAATAATAGAGAAAGGTATTGCATAAAAATAAACCCGTGGCTATCATTATTAATTTATTTGGCATTCTGTGTTTTGATTGAATTTTAACATATTTTTTACTTCTGAATTATTTGAATTGATTTTAATATATCAAAAATGCTATTTAGCAAAATCAGCAGAAGAAAGAATTAAAGCCAGTATAATAAATATAAACTAGTAGTGGGGGAAGTGTGTAATAAAAATGGTTTTAAAAAGTATTGTAAGTCCTGTAAAGGTCAACAGTTTAATAAATGTTTTATCAAGAATTATACTATGCCAAATGACATATTTGAAGAAAAAAAAAACACCTGATATGTCAGGACAGACAAAAAAAATTTAACCGGCCTTGGCCTCATCAATGTTAGATTTAAATAACTATTAGAAGAATCATATTACACTGTGGTCCACATTGTGGACATTTGATTTGAGTATAGAGGAATAGACTAAAAAAATTTGAAAGTACAGGTAATTTTAACTTCAATTCATGTAAATTATGAATAAGTAACGTTTTGCAAAGAAGGAAATAGGGCCCAGCAAATTATACTATCTAGTCCTTACGACTTGATAAATACATTGTTATCGTTATAGTGACAGTAATCACATGACTGAACTTAAAATGAGAAATTTCTTCTTTTTAAAAACACATCCTGCTTACCATTTTAATCTTATGTAATATGGGTAGTCATACAGCATGGGAACATCCATAAATCTACATGAACATGATTCTTTTTTTTATATTATGTCACATACCTAGGGGTGGGGGAGCGGTAGGGGTGTCACAAATTTGTGATGTTGTATTTTATGAAGGTGTCTTAATTTTAATTGTGACAAATTTATGATGGAGCCCCAACGAAAAATTAGCCTTAAATATAAGGCTGTGTCTACACGTCCGGGCCGGACGTATATATCCCGCACTATTTGTCCGGAAGAATACTTTATCGAGATATTCGTCCGGGGACCAAGTCACATGACCGCCGTAACAAAGTGGTGAGAGATATTTGTCCGCCAGCCTCGTCACGTGACTGCTAATGATTCAAAACTATTGTTAATCTTAAAATCTATTTCTCTACCAAGTAATGTACTGAATAATAGAAAAAAATACTTGGGTATATTACCAAAACAAAGTGGGGGTTAAGTAATTATGCATTCTAGAAGGAAGCAATGCTGAGAGGGAGAGAATTACGTTAATAAAAAATACGAATTCTAAAAAATAATAGTGAGGGTGATAAATAATTAAGCTTAATGGCGGGGAGGCCAATAGTTTACAAAGAAATAGACCCTACATCTTAATATAGGGCCAATATAGTGGTAGCCTAGCCTACTTCTCATGCAATACTAAATACTAATACAATTTTATTGACATAGGTCTATTGAATTCTACTGGTCTCATTTTATTTGGTTTATATTTTAAACTAAATGGGACAGATTAGGATGTGACTATGAATACTGAATGGGTGCACCGTCACTAATTATATATGATTCAAAAGTGATTCATTCCTGGCTCATGCCCATCATGGTCACTCACACTGATAATTAAGGAATTAAGACTTTTTTAATTTTAGTTTAGATTTTTTTAGATTTAGAGTTTGGACTTTCTAAGTTTCTGGAGGCCTGATTATAAACAATTTTTTTTTTTTTAACTCCCGGCCTAATCAATGATAGTTTAGTACCAGCCAATATTATGATGATATTAGGCCTATGTATCAACTTTATTGCAATGTAAGTAATGCAATTGCACATTCGTATACAAACTACTCATTAGTCCCTGGTCATTATTGTTTCGGTTAGTTAACTATCAATTTTAGATTTTAGTCGAAAATAGGTCGCATTTTTTATGTGTCCAAATAGCCGTAGTTTAAGGAACATACTTATCAATTAGTTGGTCATCGTTGCCTGGGAGAGGCTGAACTGCAAAATGTAGGGATGTCATTGTAGTGTTTACTTTAAGTTCCGACACATTAACACATATATTATGAGTGACTTTATCAAAAATAATTATGAATCAGAAGCTACAAAATGACGGCCTCTTTACGCCATAGTGCAGTGTCAAATACAGCATCAAATCAGCCCTTTTTGCTCATTGGTCGAAAACTTTGAAAAGTGGGGAGGGTGCGGGAAAGAAATGCGCGCATGCTCGCGAAAATACGACGTGAAAATTTAATTACCACAACAAATTTTTGTTTTGATAAAAAAAGATTTTATTTATTTTCAGATGTTTGAAAGTATAATATTTATAACAGCACAGGAGCCTCATTACCAAACGAGATTTAACGCCAAGTTGATCCCTGGAATGCACTCTAATTTCACTCATTAGTAATCATCAATTACGACACAAAAAAGGGGTAGCGGGTGGGGATATCGGCATGACGTCACAAAAGATTTTCAATTGTACGTCCACTAAAGAGTTGTTAAAATATGACGTCACACATAGTCGAGCAGAAAGGGAAATTTAGAATATAGTAGTTTGATCATAATTAATTTAATCAATAAACACATACACATGTATGTATTTATAATTATTACACGCTTTTCTTTATATGTAGGGGTACTGCGGATTTTTTTCCGTGAAATAGAGGCTGTAAAATTCTTGGTCCAACCCACTAACCCTAGCAAGGGCATTGGGTAAGTACTGCTATATTCAATGGGGGATTAATCCACTCACATGACATACACCACAATAGGAGTTTAATCACTTGGATGAATGTCTAGCGAGGGATTGCAAATTCAGGCGGTCGTTACTGAGACCTATTGGAAAATTTAAAGCAATGAACTTTTGCCATTTCCTTTTGTTGTTGTAAGAAGGGAGTATAAAGCACAGTCTAGTCTATATCAGTGGTTCCCAAACCTTTAAGTTTGGCGGACCGCTGAACATTGTCTACATTTTACCAGGAACCAGTGCATGATTTATTTTTATAATTTTATTTCTATTTGACAATGAATATTTATGTTATGGGGAGCGTTATGCATGCGGACCTGTGCCCAAGTAGGCCTACCCACAGGCCCACAAGGGCGCCGCACAGATAATCACATAAACTCATTTGTAGGGCGGGGGAGCCGGCGTCAAACAGGCCCAGATCACCATTATGCCTTAGTTTTGGCGCTGACAACGCCAAGTTTATGATTAGAATCCTTTTTTTTTTTATAATGTATCTAGGCCAACTTGAATGCTATATAGACAATAATTAAAAACGTATTGATTGTTCTGTAAAAACTATTGTCCCACATTTTTTAAGAATAATGTAAAACATAAATGTTCAACCTTTTTATATTGTGAAATACGAACCAACTTGATCTAAGTGGGCGTGTCCTTATTGCGTTTAGATTTTTTTAGTAGTAAATTAAGTAAACATACAAATCTTGTTAAAAATGCCTCGAGCAACAGTAACCTCAAGGTATAAATTCATTTGTTACATTGAATAAATTTTAATTATTCACTGTAACTTAGTGTATCAACTGTAACCGAGAACTGTACTGTGTACAGAGTACTGAGAAAGAAACTGAAAAGTGTTCATATTTTTAATTTCAAATTTAATTAAATTTCACAATTTAAATTTCAGTCATTGTTGAATTCATTTTTCAATCATTCAATGAGAATCCATCCAATATTTGATTATTTATTCAACACTGAATGAATGATAACATGATTCAGTTTCATTTAAAAAGCAAGCTGAAGAGAAATGTAAAAAAAAAAAAACAACTGGACTCTTCGGAGTTAACTTCATGTAAAATTTAAATATTTTAAAATTATTTTTAGATAGGACTATCAATTATCACTGTCACTATTACTGTTATATGAACTTCATTTGTATTTATTAGTACTATTAGTAGTATTAGTCATAGTCATAGTCATTAATAAGTTAATTAGAGTTATTATTATTTATTTGCTAACTTAAGTCAAGCCTCTTTCTAATTCTTAAACTTTTTCATTTTAAGTCTAAGTATATACTGTTTACTATATTATATAGTAGACTATATAGTGTGGACCACTGTGAAGTGTTGACCAATCCAATGCATCTCAAAATTTGTATGTCACAAACCAAAATGTTATGAATATGTATGAATTTATTTTATTTATAACATTATCAATTATCCATATTGCAGCAAGACCTGCGACCTATTTATTTTAATCATTTTAGGTTAACCATTATTCCTTTTTATCAATATGATCACTATAAACGACTGACTTGAAGCACTACGACAACCTGTTTGCTCACGAGCATGCTATGGCCCACAGACCACAACTTTGAGAACAACTGACAATTGCGTTAGAATTGAAAATTATAGCTAGGATTACCTTTCTTAAAAATAGTGGGACCCTCTCATGCATGGTTCCCCGCCCCGCGGCTTCCACTAAATTGGTCGGAATTAGGGTGTTGGGTACTAAAAGTATTATATATATTTCCGGTGATTAATTTTATTTATTAACTGTACAGCCTGACGAAATACCAGATTGTCTGGCAACCCTAATTGTAACCACAGACCTTATACTTTGTAGAATAATTATTAATAAAATCATAAAATGTGTGAGATTTTTTATTATTTGCCACATTGTGACATGTTTCTGTTTATCTACAATGGGCATTGTTATTTTTTTTAGTAATAGTCACTACTCAATCTTAAATTCCATACCAACAAGGGCATTATAGTATAATTTATACTGCATTTAGATTATTTCCCAAAATTTTGTTCAATTTTATGAAATAGTCCTATTTTTAGGATTGTGTACTCACCATCTGGATTACTTGATACCAATCATGAGCAGATAAAAACAGAATGAAGAATGGTACCTCAGTTCTTTTTTTAAAATTATATTTTTAAAGAAAAATATTCTACCTAATTATGTTTACACCTGATATCTCCCAATAGTTCATAAATTAACAGCCCCACCCCTTAAATCTGATGCTGATGTCAAAATAAGGGTTGGAAAGGCCTGGGCAGCCCTTCCAACAACTCAAGAATATCTGGTTCTCAAAACACTTGAGCAACAGCCTAAAGATAAGAACCTTCAACACCATGGTGAAACCTGTTCTACTATATAGGGCAGAGACATGGAGAACCACTGCTGTGAATATGAAGAGAATCCAGTCCTTGATCAATAACTGCTTAAGAAGGATTCTCGGGATTCACTGGGCTGACAGAATCAGCAACCAGAAAGTGGGGCAGCGGACAAAGCAGAAACCGGTAGAACAAGAGATTCTCCAGAGAAGATGGAGATGGATCGATCATCCACTCAGGAAACCTGCCTCCAGCATAACTAGAAAAGCCCTGAACTGGAACCCTCAAGGAAAATGGAAAAGAGGCAGGCGGAGGAACACTTGGCGCCGCGAAGTGGAAGCAGAAACTTGGCCACACTTGGGGGAAGCTGGAGACATTGGTCAGGATCGTGAGGCCTGGAGGACTCTTCTAGGTGGCCTATGTCCTAGAAGGATCACTCACAGACGTCAATGAAAATCTGCTGCTTTTCCTCAAGGACGAATTGGCGAAAGAAGAAGACCCCTTTAATCTATGTGGTCATTTGTAGAAATCTCTTTTTCTCATTTCATGAAGAAAACAATATTTTTTACTCAGAGAACTGAAGAACAAAGACAGCGGCCTTGACCTCTTTGTTACCTCCTTCTCAGAGCAGAAGGGAATAATGACATCAATAGTTCATTACCAAGTGGTTCTTGTGACCAACTTGTCATGCTTCAAGCTCCCCAGTCACAAGGAAACTGATGTTGTGCAATACAGTGTAAGTTTACCAATGTCTTCAGATGTTTTTCACCTTGATTTGCTTAATTATTTTACAGCTGGATAATGCAATAAATGATTGCGGCTTTGTTTGTCATTGACAACATTAAAAATACTCATCTTACACCTGAAGTATCTCACGTTTATGTGGACTTAAATTTCCCCTTGCTTTGAGGAGTGTAATTTTGTTTTCCAATCAAAAACATCAAATGGTCTTATAATACTATGGGAAGGATGTTTGTTTAAAATGATCTTCATCTCAACAATAATTTGCCACTTTATTTATCAAACTCTGGTCAAAGGAGTATTGACCAGGCTAAGTTAAGTGGGAGCATATTGGTGGCCATCCCCCCAGAGGGGTGTAATTATACAATTACCCCTCCCTTTTCAATGTCTGGGAAAATTCCATGTAAACATATTAATTGCTGGTCCATTAGAAAAAAAAGTATGGCTCATTGACAATTCAAAGAAAATATAACACAATAGCTTGAAACATAAAATAACTGATGTTTCTTTTTTAACAAAAATATTAACTTCTGACTAAATGAGAATGCTTTAAAAATTCAGAAAAGTGAGTAGACATAAAATATCCAAATTAATACACTTTCTCTAATATAAACTTAGCAATGTGGTTTTCTTTTCCAGCTTGATAAAAAATTGATGGAGTTTGAAGATTTGAGGGCCAAAATATCGGAACTGTTTACAGGGACTGTGCTACCCACCATCAACAAAAAGTCTATGATTGTCAATGATATGGTTCTACGTGAACGTAGGAACAGCCTTGATCAGCTGCTCAAGTTTTTAGCCTCAGTCCCCAAACTTGCAACTTGTGTCCCTCTATTGGAATTTTTAGGTCTCAAAATTCTTAAATTTAAATTTAAAACTGTAGTTAAGTTAATTTTTTTTTTTTTACATGATGATTCTGATAAATTTAAAAGTTAGAATGTTATGGCCAAAGCTCCTTGGATACAGCAAATATTCAGACGAATGATATTTCTTTCCCAAGGTAGTTTTCCCAAGTTTCCTAAAACATTAGAATCATTGTAATTTATCTAGACTGTTTCAGTATCTCCACTTTTGATTGATGAATTTGCAAATCACTTGATAAAAAATTAATTATAAATTTAAACATTGAAATTATTTTAAACATTTTTCTCTCTTGGAAAATATATGCAAAATTTATTGAATAATTGAAGGAAATGGATAATGTAACATGTTCTAAACTCTCCCTTCATAAATTGTATAAAAAGTGGCTCAAATTAATATTATAAATTATAAAAAAGAAAACCATTACAATAAATGAATTGAAAACAATCATTAGGATTTCCAATGGGACAAGTTTTTAAACTTTTTTAGGAAGTAAATATTTTAAAAAATTAAAATATTGTAATAATTAACCATTGCAATTTTAGTTTTGATTTGTTAAGCTTAACTTTGTCTATTAAAAAAACATGAACAAACCATAATAATTTGGACCATATTGATGTAATAATAAACTGTAAACACAAATAATAATTATTCAATGCGGTTTTGATTTATTTCCCTGTAGGGGTTGATGCCAACAGAGCAAAAAATTTCAGTCCTGGTGAAACATTTGAAGAGACTTCATCTTCTTCTACGAAAGAAAAGCAAGGGAAAGAAACTCCTGAAGAGTAAGCACATTCAAAAAATTTAACAAATTTACTTTAAAATTTTCTGTGGATTTTTTGGTTAAATACAGCTTGACAGGAGCCTTTCTATAACATCATGATGTAATAGCTGCTCTGGAGCTGATAGTTTTAATTTAAAAAAATTATTCTAGTTTTATTCAGTTATATATGTACCTTTACTGACATGTGTTCATTTGATCACACCCAGCAGTGACAGGGACTTCTTTCAGGAGAACACTGATGAGCAAGAGGACAGTGAACTATTTGAGGAGGAAAAAGGAGTGTTTGAGGAAAGAGAAGAACGTAATCCAAGTAGGTTGGCAATAATATTAACAGCCTATCACAGTTAGAGTGCTATATCATTAGATATTGGTGGTCACAATTTGTTTAGGAAACATGATTTCTTCAACCCTCAAAGTGTAAGAGTGTTTATGATCTATGATCCTCAACTGTTAGAGGACTGGTTAAATTTACTAATATTTTGGGGGTTTTCTTTCAGTGAAGGTTGTGTTTAAAAATTATCTCCCCACCGTGTGGGCTTAATTATATATATATATATATATTTATTTATTTATTTATTTTTATATAAATCCCCATCCTTTGGACAAATCCTATGTAAATAATAATATATTAATCCACCCCTCCTCTTCCAAGCTACTCCTAGATCAAGTCTTGGTGGCATCTTCATTTCTTGTAAGACTTTTATCTCCTACAATGTTATCTAGTTTCCATTATTTTTTTTTTCGCAGCTCATGTGCAAATGTTTGAAGAGCAAGATCTCAAACGAGATCTCACAGAAGATGATGAAAAGGATTTTGGTTTCATCCCCGATGCCATCATTACTAAAAAGGAAACGGTTCAAGTTTTTGAGGATGATATGTCAGATTTATTTCAGTAAGGTCATAATAGTTGTGTCTGTTTATTAAAGTGAGGTCATATTCCGCAGCATTCACGTCCCAGTTTTTATAATGAAACAATTGATTGTGCTGATTAACAACATCATTTAATATCACACTTTTTAAAAAATTTCTGACATGTTTCAGCACCGGCTGTAATCCCTGAATTTTATAGCTTGATAGAATTTGAAACTATCTTATGCTTTTTACTATTAAAAAAAGTGCATTATTATTTTAAAAAAACATATAATTTGTAAGATCTTAAGTATGATCTTAAAAATTAATATTAGGAGAATGGGCATGCACTTATGTACCCACTGAATCTGCCTCTGAAGATTATGCATCATAAGCCTATTCATCCCTAGACTGAAAGTGTCCTGTAGATATTTTAACAAAACTTGGGGGTGGGGGGGTTTCACCCTGCATTTAGTTATACTAATGTGTTAATATTAACTTTTTATCCTTCATTCAAATTAATGTCATTGTTAATTAAAACGCTTGACACTATTTCATCAGAGATGATGATGACCTTGACCAGCTAATGAACCTTGACCTCAGAAAGAAGAAAACTCAACAGAATTCTCAAGAAGATTTGTCGCTACCTACAGCCACCACTTCTCAAACAGAGTCTTCCCCTCAGATATCTCCAACCGCTCCAGCAGCAGCCGTCAAGCCCACACCGCCAGCCAAGCCAAGTTTGCCTCCCAACAAACCAAAGCTAAACCACCCGCCAGTAAATCATTTGCCAGGAGCAGAACCAGCGGGTAAACCTGCCCTTCCGGCCAAACCAAAACCAGCACCAAGGACAAAACTGACCAGTCAAAACAGTGATACAGGTGGCAGTGTTGGGGCCAGTAAGCCGAATTCTGCGTTAGACAGCCAGCCAGGAACCAATGTCTCAGAAAGTTTAGACCAAGATGACATTTTGAAATATTTGCAGGACAACTTGTCGTCCAATAAAGAAGAAGTTGACTTGTTTTCTTAGTAAAACTCAGGTGAAGATGTTAGCAGCTTTTTGTCATTGACTTTGTTTATAAAATATTTTTAAAAATTAGCTATGGAAGAAATATAAAGATGTATATATATATATTTTTTAAATTTAATCACTGAATAGATTATATTTTTTCATTTTAAATCTGCATACTTTGTGGAAACTGATGATACTATTATTTTATATTCTATTTCCAAATGAGAAAGTACTAAATTTTATTTGTACTCCATGCAGAAAATAAAGATAGAAGTAAATATAAAATCGTGTGATATTTAAAAAAAAAAAAACAGTATTAAAGTAAATTGTTAATCAACAATTGTATTTTACTGTAATAATTATTAAGTTTCAAGACTGAGACTTAGACACTTACACAAAAATGTTATGGAGAGCCTTCTTCATTTCTCAGACTGTTTGTGTGTGCCTGTATTATGTTTATATTTATATAAAATGCTTTTAGAAGTGATTCTCTTTATAGAAATTAAATGGGTTCACAAAATAGTATCTTGAATGAAAAAATATTAATTACAATTATTATTGTTTAATCTTCATTCACGACTCACCAAAATGCAAATTTTTTTGAAAATCAATTTTTATTATGATAAAAATATATGAAATTAGCATATTTCTTAGAATCTTCTGTTAATTATTCTTAAAATTCTGTTAAATGTGTTTATATTTATTTACAGGGTGGCCTAGAAAAAAAAAATAACCTCTCTTACATTGTAATATAATTACATCAACATTTGTTAAGTGTATCCATTAATGATTTACTTATGTAACTATATAACTATATGACATCATTAGTATGACAATTTCCAGTAGCTATAAATGACAAAACATATTAATTCAATTATATTAAATAACCTTTTGCTGAAAGATGTTCTCACTTTTTTTTGGGGCCACTCTGCATATATGAAGAACATTATTCATGAAAAAAAAAATTTCAACTTATATAGAAAAATATCCTTCATTAAGTTAAATATTTTAGTTTTAAATTAGAAAAAAGTTTCCTCAATTGGTTTTTTTTTACTGTTAAAAAAATATAAACTTTTAATTGATATGATTATTTGTTGAACCATGGGAAATAACTGTGATATGCTATTTCATGTTGACTGCTCTTTGTTAAATGTATAAAAAATATTTTTGTTAAATCAAATGTATTCTGAATGATTTAAATATTATGTTCTTGTCTCTACAGTCAATAAAAAAAATCAGAATTGATTTTGATCTACATGATTAAGTTTTCAAAGAAATCAATAAAAATGTTATAATTTGTATTGCTTTGCAAAAGTTTTGTCAAAATGCCTTTACTTTTAGCAACAAACAAAAAAGTATTAACTACCAACACAGCTAGACTTAATATAAAAACAACAACAACACTTTTTTTTAGCACATCTTTGGAAAACCATGACCATCCAACTTAAATATAATTTTTTACAAAGATTGTTTTTATTTGACAGTATTATTATTTGAATATTACCATTTAAAGGAAAGAATTATTAAATGATATCTGAGGGTGAATGGTGCTTGCTTGTTTTTTCTTTATTTTGCCATTGAAAAAAAGGATTATTAGGATTTAGTAATTCAATTTATTTTGACTTGCTTCATATGCATTGTTTCTAATATTTACCTATGACGAAGTAGCAATATACATACCTGGGTTTTTTTTTAGTTGAAAAAAATGTATAAAGAAGTCCTTTTAAATAATGAATACTATTTTAGAGAACAAAAAATTTTTTTAACATGATTTGAATTATTATTATTTTATTAATCCAATATAAAACAGTTTTGAATAATTTATCCTAGGTTTCTTTCTACAATTTGTATATATAAAAAAATATATTATTTGAATACAAACGTGTTATAATAAAATGATGCAAAGTATGAGAAATGGGTCACAAATAAAAATGCATGAATTAACAAATTCCACATTCATACTGCTCATGATGGCCTGGAACACTTAGTGGGAAAAGTACAACAAATTTTACTGCGTGTTCTAGGATTGTACACATCATGATTGTCAAAGAGCAGAATCAATTATTAAAAAAAAAACATTAAATTTAATTATCTCTCATACAATTTAGTTTTGTGTTTCTAAAAAGGATTTGCCTGAAATTTACCTTCTTCCCAGCAGTTTAAAAAAAAATTATAAAAAAATTCCATTATTACAACTGTTTTAATTTCTCATCCTGTTTACTGCTCCCCCCTCTCCACCCCCTCCCCACTTTCTTTTGAATTGTTACTTTATATTGTAATTGTATAAATTAATCACACCAATACCAATAAATAATCCTCTTGCATGATAGCCTTAGGGCTTTTTTCATTTAAAAATCTGGTTTATACTGTTTTTCTCATTAGAGAAGTCTACCAAGCATCTCAGTATTTTGTATTTAAAAAAAAAAAAAATTACCTTTAGTTAGAACAAAAAATAGTTTTCATTTATTGTATGATGAAAAATATTATCATAAAAAAAATAAAACTGCGCATATGGTCAAAAAAATATATATAAAAATATAATAATAATAAAACAAATACATTTGAGAGATTCATTCAGGTTGGGTTTAATTATCACAGCACATGCTTAGGAAATAACAACAGTAAAAAAAGCTCTCTATTTTTGTTTATGTATCCTAAATAGTAAAAGAAAGAAAAAATGGTTTCAAACATTAACTGCATTCCTTATTTTTAAAACAAATAAACAATAAGGGGGGGGGGGGAAGAAAT